AAATAGACGGATGAAATTTACCGTTCTTCGAAAGTAGAGTGTCGAGTCATGATGAAAAACCAATAGAGAAGAGGTCTCTTGTTACTAGTTGTTTCTTTTTGTTAAAAATGAGAGGTGGTATTCTTCCTCGTCGATTATTTACTTTAGTTTCGATGGTATTCTAGGGTGTAGAAGTTTCTATTATACCTCTTTATTTCGGATTTTTAATCGTAATAACATAGAAATTTTAGTATTGTATGTTCTGTTTCTACCATTTATAGAGCTTTCGAAATACTTATTCAATAAATCAGTTTTCTTGTATCTGTTGCTTTTTAGCGCTTAAAAGGATTTTTATGTTGTTCTCTTGATGAGATCACTTAAAAATTTGATGACGCAAACAAAACATCGTTGTGGCAGACCCACATGCTTTACAACCGCTGGAGATGGAATGCAATATGACGACTTCAACGGTTAATATCACAACCCGTGAACCGAACTCACACTGGCTGCATATACGAAGTACTGAAAAGTACTGTCACATTGGCTATGCGAAACATGCCGCTTTACAAAGTCTCCGCTGATTCTTGAGGTGAATGACAGCTGGGCAGTAGTCCTGTAGTGGCGTTGAACCATAACCACACAATCTTCAAAGCTGAACACAAAACAACCCGAAAAATAGATATTGAATATTTAACGCGGAGAAATACCTAACGATAGAAAAGGCGGGAACAGTTAGAGTTGGAGTTGATCGAACGGCATGGCTTGGACATGCAGGCGTGGTCCCTGCTGAATGTTATCTTATATCTTTTATTCATATTAAATATATTGTTCTTTCTCTAGCCTAAGCTTGTTCTTCATCATGTATTGGTAGTTGTTACGATACAGTGAGTTGGCCTAGTCGATGGTGTGACTTCCACGTAAGATCTTATAGATTAGGCAGTTATATCATGACAAATTGACAAATTTAGGATTAGGTCTTTTATTAGAGCAGCACTAATATTATAGTAGACCATAATTCTACAGTCCCAAGATAAACGACCAGCGGCAAATTGGCAGCTGTCAGATGTCAATGAGGTAAAGAGCGTCATCGTGATTCCATCTGCAGGTTTAAGCGAAACCATCAAGCTGGATCCCCATAACATAGATATCAAACGAACAAATGTAGTCATGGTTACAAGGAAGAACAAAATGCACGCAAGGAATAAGCGAATTACAGAAAGTCTTAGCCAATGTGAATTGGCCATTTTCTATAAATTGAGAAAACATAGAAGTGAGGCTATTAAAAACGTCGCTTAATTACAAGTTGTTAGAAACCGTAATCGCCCTGGCCTTATTTCAGTGCATTCGAGATCTTACCAGATATGGCCTACAATACTCATCCACTTCGGACTTAGTCTTCACATACAGTGATGTCGATGAAATAAAGTTACTCCCAAATATAGGGAGAAGTGATCATGCGGTCATTCTACTCAATTTTATGGTCCATATTATGTGTCAAGAAGTTGATCCGTTCTTTCTGACATATTTAAGATAGATATGAAGACGATCAACCCTGCAGTCTCAACAAAAAACTGAAATATTTACTTCAGAGCATCAATATGAGAGGCATGGACTAAGTTTCGACAGTTATACAATCAAGTGACCGAACTATTTACACCCGTACAGCTTAAAAATAATAAACGCAGCCATCCATGGATAAACCAGGAGATTCGAAGTTTACTAAGACAAAAGAAAAATGTTAGAATGTCGCTATTATCCTTGGTATAACACATAAGATGAAACACTACAAGTCTACCCAAAATAAACGCAATAGGAAGAAATCAGACAAAATTCGGTAAACACTTAGCACAATCTGTATTCAGGCGGCTGAGGAGACTGTTGTCACACATAAATTGCAGAAATATACTGCACAGTTGGATTCCCAATCTTATTAGAGAAGGGAGGGTATCTGGAATGACAGAACTATAACAGGACAAATCAAAGGTCATGGAAGACTATCATGTGAAAGTTTTTTCTAGGAAGAATCCTTAAGATGAAGAACTAGACCCAAGTACTAATTAACAAAACTGGCTAATCTCCATCGACTTTGATCGAAACGACGTACTAAAGGCCATTAGATTATTAGACACAAAACATCAACGGGACAAGACAAAGTACACCCAAAAATGAATTTATTGCACAGTGCATTGCTGCGCCACTGAATGCGCTGTTCCCTGTCTAAGGATGTCACAAAAGTTCGATGTTTGACAACAGCTTTACACATAACACCATTATGATAGAAGCATGTGTACTCAATGAAATCAGAAGTAAAGAGGCTGGAAGACACATTTGATGGACTATCAATATATTTGGAAGCGTTTGGTCGAAACTAGTCAACAGTTGCAAGGAGTGTGCAGCAAGGTGTACCCACTTTTGATCTGTTGCGGATGCGTGATCGAACGCTTTCAGCTAGGTGTGTTCAGTAAACTAACGAGGTCGGCACCAATATCGAAGGCATATAAAACTATCCACTTCAGGGATTTATTTACCTCCACAAACTGAAGCAAACAGTGTGAATATTATTAAGATAAGGAAGACCTTGAATTACGAAAGCTCATTGCATTATTGTGAAGACTATGATGGAAAAACGATATATTGGACCCCAACCTATAGAATGGTAATAGACCGATAGATGCTAGTCTTAAACGACAACTAGCATGATCCATGTATGTCAATCTTTCAGGGATGTTGGCACTTCCCACGCATTTGAATATCAAAACTATTGTTGATCAAAACGGAATTAAATTTGTTTTTTTCATTGTTATTGTTTTTAAGCGTACGTTTATAACGGGATAAATTTCGTGAACTTGCTGTAGTAGATAAGCCTGTAACATCGATGGATAGTGTAGTTTATTCGGACTTTCGTATTTTCAAAAAACGATGTATAAAACCTCACATTAGCCGCATGACTCCATCAAACATTTCAGTCTCATCAAATGTTTCCCAAATGGATTCGATGTTAAAGCCATTGGTAGTACAAGAAATTTCGTTCAGTATAATTCCCGACCAATATAAAGCAAAGGGACAAGTCTCTCAACCTTTTTCATATGCTCCAGCATAAATGCTTACGATTATTCCAAGCGCTTTATAACATGATTAGCAAACTGATTTCAGACCTCGAACAACAGCAACGAGTCACTTTAGATGAAAAGCATCCAAACTTCGATTGAGCTAGTTGAATTCACAGTTCTTCTGTCTTCATCATAACGACTTACTGCAGGCAAATTAGACCACCGCCACCAAATTAGCATATTACCGGTTAGATAGGTAGGTCTTTAACCACAAATTCTTATCTAATTTACTGAACATCGGTTATTTCGAAGAATCATCATTCAGCTATACTCCTAGCACCGATCTTATTGATGAGCAACATAGACACTTCACTTTCTTAATTTGAATAAATTTCCTCAAACGAAGCTTTCATTTTTATCTCAACTAAGTAAATAAATGTTCTTAGTAGATATCGAGTAAAAGTTATACTGAGATTACTATAATCTACAGCTGCATTTTCAGTATGATCTAGTGATAAGTGAATGGGTCAAAGTATATGAAAACGTTATTCAATCCTGCACAACAGATGTCCTTATATTAAGAGAGAGATAGACAGAGTCTCTTGATGATGGAAAGTAAGTTAATATTATTCATATAAACTTCATGAAATCACTTGATATGGTGCCCATCAACAGACTTCTCATGAAGCTGGAAAATATAGTAATAACTGAACCTCTTTTGAAGTGGCTTTCTTAGTAGGCCATGGACAGACATCAACAGCAAAATCCGTTTGTTCCCCCTAGAAACCAGTACTTTGTGGAGTACGGCAAAACTCTCTCATTGGCATTTTACCTTTTAATCTGCATGTATATGGGTTCCCTTACGCTATGTGAAAAAAATTTGAGGAAAACTACAGGAGACACAGATGCATATGCAATTTAAATGGACTCAGATGTTTTGATTAGCTGGTCTTAAAAAATGGCTTATGCTTATCAACGCGGACAAGTCTATCTACGTAAACATTAGGGATAAAAAGTTAAATCAGTGCAGTATAGGGAGAAATTCAGTCCCCGTGGTTCGGTCTAGCAATGATGTTGGGGTAACAGTGAGGCATGACCTTAAGACTACGACACACCGTGCTATGATCAAATGTCAATTCCAGTTTGAGTAGTCTTGACTCCGTATTGTCATCCAAGGCTGGCGGTCAAGCATGTAAACGACCTTGGGCTGATGCTTAGCCAGGTTGGGATTATACCACAGAACACTGAAGTGTCAAAGTACGTTATATTAAGTGACTAATATTAGAGCTACTATAGTGTGAAGGGAATGTAGCGAATATGCATTGATTTTAGACAGGGAACCTTTTCAGCCATCACATCCAGTAGCTTTCATGTGAATTCAGCGTTTTGACATTATAACATGATTTTTATATTGATTTGCAACCCGAATATCTGCTTGTATTGAGGTGTTAGGATGTGCTTTTGGATAACAATAGCTGTAGACAATTGACCGAATAAGGCAACTCTTGTTTACTTTTAGCACGTATCTGTTATTGTCGTGCGTTAACTTGGGCATGATGGATTTGTTAGCTTTCAAACGGATATTTGTTTCAAGTTTTTAGAAGCCAATTGAGTGATAATAAGTTGTTTAATCGCAATAATGATTGTTCGTACTGATTCTATGTAGCCCTCAGGTTGGTGGATACATGACTGCGAAATATTTGTTTAGTCCATAACTTTGTTACTGTAAGGAACTGAAGGTTTGTTTATTGTCTTTTCTAGTACAAATTAGAACTTAATGTAGGGATGCATTTGAGTTTCACACTAAACATTTGGGTTTGTTTTCTAATAATTTTGTCTGCGTTACATATTACGCAGATAAATGTTTGAAAAGACAGGTTCATTAACATCTCATAATGTCTCTTTTTACCATTTAGGACCACTACATACATGTAGAAAATGTCCCACAACTGACTAGTTTAACGATTTTGAATGCCCATTTCTGATTCTACATTTTGTGTCAATTCCCAACACAAACTTTTAACTGTTTACACAGATTCAGCTCCGAATTCTCTGTCAGAACTTAATTGTCCTAATGTATTAGACTCAATTGGTGCCTTCGACCATGAAGTTAAAAGTAGTCGCACCTCTAATTCGGAAGCTGTTGGTAATTCTTTCGTCACTTTTGAGGTTTCTGAGACGGAAACATGTGCAAGCAATTTATCAGACGACTTTCAAACAGCTCCAGAATACTCATTGCATACTGAGGTTTACGTACCAGCAACTTTTCCTAGTACATTGTGCCGTTATACAGATCAGACAAACACAGATAATTATGGAGATATTGTTACTCAGAATTTGTTGTGGCTAGCTGAGGAAGCTGTGCATGCACCTCTTGATGTTATGACGGGGATTCCCCAGGATACAAACCACATGTCTAATATGCACCCGAATTATAAGGCGGATAGTATTTTAGAAAGTCATCTTTATGTCACCCTTCCACCTCGTTCAGAAATCCTCGGAGCTTCACAACCATATTACAGCTTCCAGGACGAAAACACTACTGATAATGGACAGAGTTCTGAGCAGCTCCATATGTGTATCGATAACACAGCCCAAACCTTCTCATCAGAATTGGAAGTAACTTCAGATTTAGTTCATGTAAGCGGTTTCACCAGTGAGTCGAAAGACAACACAATGTCGTGGCCAAACTCTTCTAGTGAAAGTTATTCCTATAATTCTCACTACTTCAAAGGTGTTCCCAATTTTTCCATGAACTCATCTCTATGTATTCATACCGTGGAACCACACGGAGCCAGTGGAGAAAGTTACGTGAATGGTTTTACTGTATACCAAGGCCCTTCAAGCTCCGATGAACTACTTGATCAGACTTTTGAATATCCAGTCTGTGATTTCTTTCCCACGGACGGTCATAGTTATACTTCCTACGACCATTCTAAACCATCTTACTATAATTCTTTTTCCGAAGGATTTAGTAGCGCCATAGTTTATCCAGATTGTGATGCGAACGGTTACGAAAGTGAACAGCATGATAGTATATTCGTCTCCAGCTTTCCAGACTCGTTGGCCACACAAGGAAATACCTATGTTTCCGCTTATTTAATTCCTGATCAAAACTGCGATTCTCGTTTAAAGCAGTCAAACAGCTATCCGGATTCTATGGTACACGTTCCTTTCTGTACAGCATATGAAACGAACGCAAATAGTTTTCAATACAGTAACTCAGTTCAGTGTACACATGCATTTGAATTGCCTTCGGTAAGTTTTCTTGTGATCAACTGTTTTATTGTTTCTTTAAAGTGACCACTAATTAAAGTAAGGTAAAATACTTCATTGTCTTGCTATTGATTGTAGATTGGCGTTAAACTCGGGAACCAAAAACTTGTCAACAGAAAACATTCATGTTGGGACAACAGCACTTAGCTGTTTTACTCTTATTATCATTATTATTATTTTTGATATAACCTCCCGACCGAAGCTGCTACCTTGACGCGGTGGTCGGGCTTGCCTATCGTGATGACCCAACCGAGCTATATTGGCTGGCGGTACAGTACTCGCTTCGGCGGTACATATACTAAAATTGGAACGATACAGAGAATATTAGCATGGCCCCTGCGCAAGGATGACACGCAAAATCGTGAAGCGTTCCATATTTTATAGGGCAGCTGGTCCAGATGGACTGGTTCCAGAAGTCTTTAAGGATGGTGGTCCAATTTTAGCGATTAGGTTGACTGATATTTTAGCTAAGATCTGGGAGTTAGACGTTATTCCATCTGACTGGTCACAATCACTTATCGTCCCAATATATAAGAAAGGGTCAAAATCATCCTGTGACAACCACAGAGGGATTAGTTTAACTAATATAATATCTAAAATACTAGCCTCAATAATAATCAGACGCCTAACTAAGACTCGTGAACTGCAAACACGAGAAAACCAAGCTGGCTTCAGACCTGGTCGTGGCTGCATCGACCACATATTCACCATTCGTCAGGTTCTAGAACACAGGCATACTTATCGGCGTCCGACGATGGTGGTCTTTCTTGACTTGAAAGCAGCATTTGACTCGGTAGACCGCGAGATTCTGTGGCAGTGTCTGTCATTGAAAGGCGTACCTCAGAAGTACATAAACCTTGTAAAGGCTCTTTACTCGAACACTACTAGTCGAGTGAGAGCTTATGGCGAACTGTCATCTAGTTTTGCAACCTCAAGTGGTGTCCGTCAAGGATGTCCACTTTCCCCATTTTTGTTTAACTTCATCATAGACCTACTAATGGAAATAACTTTCTCGTCGACTGAGTTCTCGGGTATTGATCTCCATCCAGGAGGTCCACTTATCGACTTAGAATACGCAGATGACATAGTCCTGTTTGGTGAAGACGCTGATAAAATGCAGAGTCTTCTGGTAGCACTGAGCAACAATGCCAGGATGTTTGGAATGCGCTTCTCTCCCTCGAAATGCAAGTTGTTGCTTCAGGACTGGTCTGCGTTAACACCTGAACTAAGGATAGGGAGTGAAGTAGTCGAACGCGTTGACAACTTCACTTATCTTGGAAGTCTGATCAGCCCTAATGGGTTGGTATCGGACGAAATCTCAGCACGGATTCGAAAAGCTCGTTCGGCTTTTGCCAACTTACGTCACCTTTGGCGAAGGCGAGATATCCGTCTATCAATAAAAGGACGAGTATATTGCGCGGCAGTCCGTTCTGTTTTACTTTACGGTAGCGAAACATGGCCATTAAGAGTAGAAGACACTCGTAAGCTATTAGTATTTGACCACAGATGCCTTAGAAATATTGCTGGCGTCTGCTGGGATAATCGGGTAAGTAATAGTGAGGTTAGACGCAGGGTATTAGGAAAGGATGGTAAATCAGTTGATGAGGTTATGAATCTTCATCGACTGAGATGGTTGGGCCACGTGTTACGTATGCCTGAACACCGATTACCACGACGTGCAATGCTATTCGGTATTGGAAATGGTTGGAAGAAAGTTAGGGGCGGCCAAACCAAAACGTGGCAGTCTGATCAGCCCTAATGGGTTGGTGTCTGAAGAAATCTCAGCACGAATTCGAAAAGCTTGTATGGCTTACGTCATCTATGGCGAAGGCGAGTTATCCGTCTATCAATAAAAGGACGAGTATACTGCACGGCAGTCCGTTCTGTTTTAATTTACGGCTGCGAAACGTGGCCATTAAGAGTAGAAGACACTCGTAAGCTATTAGTATTTGACTATAGATGCCTTAGAAATATTGCTGGCGTCTGCTAGGATCACCAGGTACGTAATAGTGAGGTTAGACGCAGGGTATTAGGGAATGATGGTAAATCAGTTGATGAGGTTGTGAATCTTCATCGACTGAGATGGTTGGGCCCACGTGCTACGTATGCCCGAACATCGATTACCACGACGCGCAATGCTAATCGGTGTTAGAGATGTTTGGAAGAAAGTTAGGGGCGGCCAAACCAAAACGTGGCATCAGTGCTTGAAGCCACTAACTTCTAGTCTGAGCCATGTTGATAGATGCAGACTACTTGGTTGGGGTCCGCGTGACTATCGTAACCAATGGTTGGAGACTCTTGGTGACATGGCTCAGAATCGATCACAATGGCGTCGGTGTATACACTCCCTGTCTTCCCTTAAACTAAGAGATTAAAAGCGCTTCATATCTTTCTCTCTACTAACCAATTATTTCTTCTTGTACTATATCTCTATATGCAATCTTTCTCTTATATATTACCACCTTTTACCTAACCACTGTTATGAATCCGGTGTTCATCTTGTTGTGCTGATGCGGTATGGCAACCTGGACCGATGCACATATGTGCCTGGTCCTACGTTGTAGCTGACTGACTGACTGTAGGTTCTACCATGCCAGGAAGGTTGATTGGGGAACGGTAAGACTAAAAGCAGCAACTCAAGGTCTGAGGGCGAAGTCATACTGCTAACTGTAAAGAGGTGTGACAGCAGTAAGGTGTTTCCCTCGGACAACCAGCATCTGCAGCGATGCTGCCTTCCCACAAGGAGGGGTTGGGTTAGAAAAGGTCGACCCTAAATATGTCACACCTCACGAACTTCCGTCTCCGGCGGTAAGGCTCTTTGAAGAACGGAGCTAACTCATTAAAAACCTTCCACAAAAGGGCCATGCGCGACCGGCCTCAAGCAGTTGTCCCTTTGGGCTCTGCGGTCACGCTCCCAGGTCATTAAGGCCAACACTAATCCGACTTCCTTTTCAGGTTCCTCGAGAAATACCCTTCCACGGTGTGGGCAGCCGGGAAGTGATATCAGCCCTCATACCCGTAACAGCGCGCGAAACCAAGTTGGTCACATTCAAATCCTTCCTACACCTCCTAATACCTCTCTTATTTCCATGACTAACCCTCCTCACGTTTCTTTATCACCTCGCACCGCTAGTGCAAACGATTCGAGTATGCGGAACGTTATTCCTGGTCTCCTGAAGCCACGCTCTAAACTACACGTAGGAGCTTTTAACGTCCGAACACTGAGCCAAATAGGACAACAGGCTTCCTTAGCTAGGACTTTAGGATCTCGCACCGTCGATGTGTGCTGCGTCTCCGAAATGCGCATACAGGATCCGAGTAGCGTCATTCATTTGACCTCACTATGTCAAAATAAAGAACCAACTCGATTCATACTTCGTGTATCACTGCTTAGTATAACTCATAAATCTATAGTTTCTTACTTTGGGTAACACTTATCCACATATTGTGTAGTAATATGTATCGTCATAGTTACTTGATTGCATCACCACACTCTTGTTAGGGTTCACTTCTAGTGACCACCCGTCCATCCATGCCATCAATGAGCTGAGATCATCCTGTAAGACTATTCTATCCGATATGCCGTGTATGGGTCATCAAATCCTTGCGTTATCAGCGAAGAGTTGGATAGATGATATTGCTTCAGTTGGTAATCCATTTACATAAAGTAAAAAGAGAGGAGAACCAAGGACTGTGACTTAGGGAACTCCACCTTATACGGGTTTCAACGGTAAGAGAGCACCATTTACCATTACCCTTTGCCTCCTGTCATGGATAATATCACTTATCCAGTCTATCACCGCATAATGGATTCCAAAACTTCCTGGTTTTAATTGAAGACTAGAATGGGAAACCTTATTAAAGACTTTAATTAGATCTGTTAAAATCACGTTTACAAAAATATTTCGATCTTTTGCCGTGGTATAATCTTCTCTTGCAATGAGAGGATTTGTCAGACAGACTCACAGTTTACGAATTATCTTACCAGATCGCGTCGGCCTCATCACTTAAGGTGCTACAGCTGTCCGGAGTTTGACAACAGCTTTACACATAACACCATTATGATAGAAGCATGTGTACTCAATGAAATCAGAAGTAAAAAGGCTGGAAGACACATTTGATGGACTATCAATATATTTGGAAGCGTTTGGTCGAAACTAGTCAACAGTTGCAAGGAGTGTGCAGCAAGGTGTACCCACTTTTGATCTGTTGCGGATGCGTGATCGAACGCTTTCAGCTAGGTGTGTTCAGTAAAACTAACGAGGTCGGCACCAATATCGAAGGCATATAAAACTATCCACTTCAGGGATTTATTTACCTCCACAAACCGAAGCAAACAGTGTGAATATTATTAAGATAAGGAAGACCTTGAATTACGAAAGCTCATTGCATTATTGTGAAGACTATGATGGAAAAACGATATATTGGACCCCAACCTATAGAATGGTAATAGACCGATAGATGCTAGTCTTAAACGACAACTAGCATGATCCATGTATGTCAATCTTTCAGGGATGTTGGCACTTCCCACGCATTTGAATATCAAAACTATTGTTGATCAAAACGGAATTAAATTTGTTTTTTTCATTGTTATTGTTTTTAAGCGTACGTTTATAACGGGATAAATTTCGTGAACTTGCTGTAGTAGATAAGCCTGTAACATCGATGGATAGTGTAGTTTAGTCGAACTTTCGTATTTTCAAAAAACGATGTATAAAACCTCACATTAGCCGCATGACTCCATCAAACATTTCAGTCTCATCAAATGTTTCCCAAATGGATTCGATGTTAAAGCCATTGGTAGTACAAGAAATTTTGTTCAGTATAATTCCCGACCAATATAAAGCAAAGGGACAAGTCTCTCAACCTTTTTCATATGCTCCAGCATAAATGCTTACGATTATTCCAAGCGCTTTATAACATGATTAGCAAACTGATTTCAGACCTCGAACAACAGCAACGAGTCACTTTAGATGAAAAGCATCCAAACTTCGATTGAGCTAGTTGAATTCACAGTTCTTCTGTCTTCATCATAACGACTTACTGCAGGCAAATTAGACCACCGCCACCAAATTAGCATATTACCGGTTAGATAGGTAAGTCTTTAACCACAAATTCTTATCTAATTTACTGAACATCGGTTATTTCGAAGAATCATCATTCAGCTATACTCCTAGCACCGATCTTATTGATGAGCAACATAGACACTTCACTTTCTTAATTTGAATAAATTTCCTCAAACGAAGCTTTCATTTTTATCTCAACTAAGTAAATAAATGTTCTTAGTAGATATCGAGTAAAAGTTATACTGAGATTACTATAATCTACAGCTGCATTTTCAGTATGATCTAGTGATAAGTGAATGAGTCAAAGTATATGAAAACGCGCTTCCACTTGCAATCTAGTGATGGAAAATCAAGTACTTATGTTATTAATGAGCTTCTAGGTATCACTACCATGTTTGGACTTGATAGGTTTAAATAGATTGAAGGTGGGGTGGAAATCTAGTAATGATTATATTTTTTTGATATCCCAATGCGTGGAAATTTGCATTCCTGACCTTTCGTTACCTGATGTAAGTCTCTTTTTCAGAGTGAGTAAATTAAAATTGATAACCGACTAAATAGCTATCCTTCATATTTTCAAAAGCACATGAACCTCAATATTATTTTCATTGTTTTCCTACTTGTGAAAATCAATTTCATTGAGGTTTTAGTATTCATATAAAAGGCCTTAAGCATCTTTAGGACTGCTGTTAGAGATTCCAAGAGAAGTACTTTCTATGTTCTTGACTATATTTATAATCTGCCTAAATGTTTGATTTTTCGCTTTATTGGACTCCATTGGAGGGCTGAACAAAGTTCCAATGTTCTTGTAGACTACAGGTTAGTTGCTGTCTTTTTGGATAACTGAGATACTAATTCTTTCACGGCAAGTAAGTAGTATTTGAATCTTTTTCTTTACCTCGCTCTAATGAACAAATTATCTATTCTTTCCGCCTTGTTCTTTCTTGATTTTATTCTCGAAAAAGCTTTACAATACACGATACATGGTTCAAAATATTTCGGTTCTGTAATTTGTTTTTAATTTAAGGCAACATTTTTGACCGATACAGATCAGCAATCAGCACGTAATGCTTCTTCTGTATACACACCAGCCGTGGTTTACCCTTGCAGTAATACAAAGTCGGAATCGCTTCCTAACAGCACGGAGTATTCATCTGTGGAAAATGTCCCAGCAAAGTGTGTACCTGTGATTCCCCCTATCATTTCTGCGAATGATAACACAGTCTCCAAAAAATCGAAGTGGATTTGTACTCATTGTTCTTTGAGTTTTACACGTCCAAGTCACTTGGTAGATCATTTGCGTATTCACACCGGTGAAAGACCATACAAGTGTATTTTATGTGGACGTCAATTCACTCAAGCTTCTAATCTTCGCCGACATCTTTCAAGTCACAGAGCCTGGCCACCAGTGTCATCTGTAACTGCTGCTGCATCCAATGGGCACCAAAATTCTGAAATAGTTCAAAAAAACACTGAAGTAAGTGTATGTTTGTAAGATTACGCTGCATTTTGTTTTTCTGATTCAGATCTTGAGTGGTATCTATGTAACCAGACTTTCGAATTTTCCAAGTTATTTGTCTTACTTTTCGTTCTAGCCTCTTTTTTAGTTTTATCTGTGCGAAGTTCTACTATTTTACTGTTACTCAGATAATCAGAATCCTCATTAATTCGTCTCATTTGTTCTTTCCACCAGTGAATTTAAATTCTCTTGTTCAAAGTTGTTGAATTATTTCTTACCAATTGGTAGCTGAGTAAATAGCATAAGCAAACTGAAGTGAGAGCAAAACAAAATAGACTTTTTCTGTGTAGTTTCTTTATAACGATCATAAATAACCATGGTATCTTCATAAATTTCTTGGCTATCTTAATTGTTTCGTGAGATGTTTTGTTAATATATTCTCACCACATCATTGTGAATGTGAATGGCTCCTTTCATTCACTAACGTCTGATTCAACTTGATTTAATATTTTTTAAGATAACGATAGACATATCAGATATCTTGTTCCGTCGGATTTATGATAATTTTCTACATGTTACGCTAGTTTTGTTCAGGCATGTACTTATTACAGTGGATGTATTAACATTGAAGCAATTAAATATATGTTAACATGTACAGGTCTCTAAATGCATTTTGCAACAACCGCAGATACAGTTTATCCGTAACAGACATTACATTTACATGTATGATTTAAGGGTTTAATATGAACTAATCTTTACTAATGGGTTTTGGTTTTCTATCTACTGTAGGTGGTAACTAACTCTACTTCGTGTCGCCGTGTTTCTCCTAAAATTTGGATCTGTCGGTTTTGTGATCAACGATTTGAAACATACATACAACTTCGGGCTCATATTGTACATCATAAAGACAAGCAGGTAATTTTAGTTTAGACGACCGTATATATAGATGTTCTTGTCGATATTTTTAGTTTGGAATTGTTTGTTGTTAATATTTTTGCAAATTTACCGTCAACATTGAATCTTTTCTTGATTGGAAAATGTCATTTTTAGTTCACGTTTTTCCCTCGTTCCCGCTTCCGTTAGTAATATTACAACACTGACACATAAATTTGTTGATAATCTGTTATCTTAACTTTGATTGTTCTTGATTAATAAGACTCTAAACGAGTTGTGTGTTAGGTTCGACCGTGGTGTTATAGTCTAAGAAATATAGCGTCAACTTTAGGTTCATACTTTGAAAGGCGAATTGATGTCCTCGGATCTGGACTCCATATTATCATTGTTCTACCTTGCATATTGAGTACCTGATCCTCTTATTCATAGATAAGTTGCAGAAATTTTTGTTTGACTCATTATATGATAGAGTTATAATAAAATTTATGTACTCAAGATTTATATTTGTGTTACGTAATTGGCGTATTCAACCGCTTTGGGATTTTCAAATGATTTTTATTTTTCAGGTTTATGCATGTGTATTTTCTGATTGTAACTCCTCTTTTTCATCACCAAACAGTTTATTAAATCATTTGTTAGAAAAACATCGAGTTAACAGGAGTGACAAACTTGCATGTCAAACTTGCGACCAAAAATTTCACGGTAATTTCGATTTTAATCTTATGATGAATTTTATTATATTCGTTCTTATTCTTTTTTTTCGTTCGTTATGTATCATTCCTGTAGTTAGTGGCTTGCAATCCAAAGTTTCAGGGATTCTCCTGTTAGTATGTCAGTTACCGATACTTTCGTATTGATAGTGTAGTACTTGACCCATTAACTCGATATTACACTATTTATAGCAATAAGGTTACTGTAATAGAGGTTAAGTGTTGCATGGGACTACAGCGTACCTTTTTCTGAGGAAATCGTAAAAGGGTTTTGGTGTTATGCATCATTTTTGAGAACGTTGTTTGTTAATTAAAGAAATGTTGAATGTTATATTAGTGCGGAGGCAACTTCGTAGTTAAAGCACGAAGCTTTCACTCAGTAGATCACAGATCCAAACTCTGGTCTATTTGTCCCACTTCAGATGTCCGGATAGCACCACTAGCTCTCGCAGACAGTGTGGATCAAAGTTGAGTAATATAAAACTGTACACGATAAACGAGTCACGTTGTGGTATGATATTCTGTACAATACCAAAGGATTTCATACTCTTGTTTCGAATATCCGTGTGCTAAGCTAATATCCATGAATATTTTGATAAACACTTGTGTAAACGTTTTTGAATGTTCTGACGTAAACTTAGGTTATAACTGTTTAAATTGTAGATTTCCCTTAAATCAGATTATTAATCAATAACTGTTTATTCAACAAACTAGTAGTCTGATAGTTAGCAGTATTGTACTTCCATTCTTGGTTAACTTTGTCGTTGACGTGCTTTTAGAGATAACACTTTCCTCATCTAAATTTCCAGGGGTTGAACTTCTACCGGGAGATTCACTTTTTGACCTAGAATATGCCGATGACATTGTTCTATTTGGAGAAGACGCTGACAAAATGCAGAGCCTTCTGACGTATACCCGACCACCGACTACCCCGAACTGCGATGTTTTATGGTGTGGGAGTAGGTTGGAAGAAAGCTAGAGGCGGCCAGAACAAAACATGGTACAAATCCATGAAGTCACTGACAAGTGGTCTGAGTCATGTAGGTAGGTGTAGACTACCTGATTGGGGACCGCGAGATGATAGCGACAGATGTTTAGAGACCCTGGATGACATGGCTCAAAATCGTATGCAATGGCGCAGGTGCATCCACTCTTTATGTTCTCCCAAATTTCGATCTCCTGATTCCCCCTTGTCTCTTTTTTCTCTTACCAACTTTATTTCACTGTATTATACTCTTTAAGTAACATCTCCAAACACTAATTTTTTCCGATTACTGCTTATCCTCTTACTACCTTTACCACAATGGGATTTGAATCGACAATTGTATCTGTGTGCTAATGTGGTATGGCAACTCGAACTGATGTACGTACATACGTAGTTCTACGTTGTTACTGACTGACCATGGAGTTAAAAATATTTTGTTGTTTCAATTTAAAGTTATTTTAATGCACAGCGTTTTTAATTTACAAAAATTCAAATTGAGAGTTTGTATTAAATGTAAACATCACTGTTCAGCACCATTGAAAAACTGTTGTAAAATGTGTTGTTTTATCCAGCGGCATTTCATTCTGTTCTATTAAATAGTTTTTATTGTGAAAAGACACCACTTACTATGAATCGGCTATTAAATAGATTCAGAAGACATGAAGACAGTATATACTGTCAGTCACTATCAGTATGTATATTGATATACTGAATGATTACTGGAGCTTCTAAACATACAGCAATATAACTTCCAACTAAACCCTCTCATGTAAGTAATTTAAGCCCATTATGTAATTATGATTTTAAATATCACAGGTTGTAAGCAGCTGACGAGGACCAACCAAATAAAATAAATTCATGCTATTCTGCTAGAATGTTTGTTCTCGCTCTTTTCAAAATGATAAAGGGAACTATGTGTATGACACAGCAATGTTAGAAAATCTTAGTGGTTTGATTGCCCGGTTCTTAAATTGCCAAACCAATAGTTTTTAAATATATAATAAAAACTTCAAAAACGTTATCAATAAACGAGATAACTTTCGCTTTTTTTTATTAAAAAAATGAAGATTTCTTGCATCTTGTTAGACACTTGTTGCCTCGACGTAATGGATCTAACTCCGGTTGTCCTATGCTGTATATTAGATCAAGAAAAAAGGAAAGTAAATTGGTGAAGAGGAATCGTAAATTTATTTCACCCCATAGGTCTACTAATCCACAGGATGTAGAACGAAGTTCAAAGTCGTCAGCTGAATACTCCAGTGTTGCTAATTATTTGGATCCGACATTCCGTATACTTCCTTTACAAAATTTCAAAAAAGATAATTCATTATTTGGTTTCAAGTAAGAATATATTGTACAACTAATTTTATAGTCTCGAAATTTTTTTTCACTAACTTAGAGTGAGTATGGAATGAAAATTTAGCTACATCCGTGAGCGCCTGATTCAAGAGTGTTCCATAACCGTAATGCTTTACTGATATGACCATTTAAATCGTTTCTGGTTGTTTTTCATAATATATCCAATATTTAGAGTTAGTTAGTATCATGTATGCAATTTCTTTGTGTTATAACGCTCAGTTTTCCACGTTTAGACAACTGGGACGTTAATTTACCTTAGACGAATATCTACACTAGATTCCCTCCCAGTGTCTATTCTACAGGACTTCAACACAACTCAGATCAAGAACATAAATATATTTCCACACCAAAAACCGACAACAATCCGACACAATACAACATCAATCAACAATCAGTCAACAATAATAATAAGGATAGGAGAATATGCAACTCATGTAACGCCTGTCAGATTATCTACAAGTTTGATTAAGCAAACAACCAATGATTATCATTCTCGCCCACATATCAGTTTGCTTTAAACCAGAAAAATTGATCCTATACTGGTTGAAATTATAAGCATCCCTCCAATCCATTTGTCAAAACTTATTAAGAATGCTGATTGAAGATTGAACGTATTATTCATAAGAATTCTGTCACAAGTGTAGGAATTATGTCAATCTACCCTAGAATTCTGAATCTATGAAACATTTGTTTTAAAATCAGTGACGACCACTGGCCTCAATCCACGGCGACAAATGTCTTCGTAAGTGGTTGAAGACATTTGGTACGGAACTCTGAATCTAACTGCCCATAGTCTTTACATCACGGTAATTGATGCTCTTCTAGATATTTGAAACTGTTTTGTCTACTGATGTCGAAAATTTCACTGAGCTTTTCAGAGTGCAGTACTGAGTCACTTAATATGAAGATAACATTGGACATCTTTAAAATTTTATGATCACTAAGAGCTAGGTTTGATGAAAAAATTACTATTCAGTAATCGAATAGCGTTTCTTGCCATTGGGAAGTAAGTTTACCAATTTCCAGTGGCAAGTGTTAACTGGCAACCTGAGATTCTTAAGATATGTAATTTTCACTTATAGCCTAAAAGTTTAGAGTTCTTGTGTATTCCAAGTTCTTTTGACGCTCAATAGTAGTAATTCGACTGAAGTGGTTCTCATAATATTTAATTCACTTTTTCATGTAAATGAAGATTAACATAAAATTGATGTAGTGAAGCATTTCATATATTTTCTAACAATTGTGATATCATTATTTTTCCCGGTTATTAAAGGTGCCCGTTTTGTGTGAAGATTTGCAAAAGTCTTAAACATATCCATGCACATTTGTCTGAAAAACATTCAAACCAAATGAATCTTTCAGTATTTAAATCTGCCTTGTCCAACAAAACTACGAATGATGACACTAATAATACTGTTTCCCTGCCGCGTAATGCAGATTCGTCTTTCAGTGGTGGTGAATCTTCTAAAACAGCTTTATTTCTTCTTCAACTAGAAGAGTGTATGTTATCTCAAGGAAATCACCTAGAATCTAACAAGAATGCTTCACCTAAAATATTTGTATGCAGATTTTGTGGCAAAAGCTTCCAAAAACAGAAGTTTTTCAGTGACCACGAGTTGATGTGTCAACAGGTTAGCATATATTTTAGAGTTTGTACTTAAGTGTTTCGCACTTTTACTTTTGAAGTCCTACTGTTGTACAACATGATATTCTAGATACTATAGACTTGGTTTAATGACCATTCACGCTTAGAGATTATTCACTAAGCTTTGATGATTGGTTGGTTCACATAATATGTTGGTTTAAATTGTCCAACTCATCAACATAGAAGGCGAAATCTTACAAAACGAAAGTGAACGCTTGGAATTAATTGTTTTTGACGGTAAGTACTAAGTAGTTCAACAGGGATTTATGAAGTCTTGAGAAATATAGTATTACGTATATTTTGAAAACAATTTCAGAATGCGTGTCAGTATACAAACAGGATATGATTAATACAAAAGGAATGCAACATTAAAAAGTTAGGGTAGATTATTTGAAATGATGTGATCTATAATTTGTCTTCATTGAATATTTTTTTTACAAAAATTTTAATAATGTGAACCATATGATGTAAACGAAATGCATCATCATAGGTTATAAGATTTCGGAGAACAGCACTTATAGGAGTCATACGTCGTAAAAGTCATCAGTTTTGTAAGCAAGATTTGTCTTTAGTAAGCATTGTAAGAAGAACGCAAAGTGGCATAGATAAGACATCATGAGCTTTTTGAAATGATAGATGTCACTAAGGATACATCGGTTAGGAATAAGTATTTTCTTAGAAGAAGGACTGGAGCGTCGTGTTTGCGAGTGAATATTACAGTGAAGAGCTATTCCAGTTCCTTTAGAGGATACTTATTAACATCTACAATAAAAGAGCATAGAAGAGCACCGGAATTCACTGTCATATGTCTATCGTTAGGTATCTACTTGATCGTTCCGTAACATACTGATTATAATTGGTTTAATTTAAACCAATCAACTGTTCTTTACATATTCTTACAATAACGAAATGACCCAATTAGGACAAGGTTTGGGACTTAATAAGAATAGCGTAAAGGATTCACAACATAAGACTGTAATATCATCAACAGATAAGATATCCACACCTAACGAAGTTTAATAATTATACGTCATAGTAACATTGTTCACACATTTAAAGTCCCTATAATTTCACTAGTGGAGTGAGATATAATTGTTGATGTAATCCTTTTTTAAGACAATATCAGAAGAGCGAAAATTATAAATGTATTGTAAAAGCGATAACAGTGAATGTTTTTCTGACATTGTTATGCTCTGTGCTAATATATTCACAACCATAATTCCAACACAGTGAAGGAAACTACTTTCTTTTTCTTTCCTCTCTCGCTATCTAGAGAGGAGTTCGGTGTTGTTATGAAAGTTTTGTTTATGATGACCGCAGTAGAATAAAAAATGCATTGGAGTTAATAGGTTATTCATCAGTTACTAGGATTAAGATTAATAAACTGTATGATTTTCGCTAAGCACAATGATAATAAAAAATATATTTAATGTGCACATAGTAATGCAACGAATTTGTGTTGAAAATCGACCTTATATCCACCTGAAATTCACTTTAAACTGATCTTGATCTCCTTCCTCATAGATTATATTTCGGGATCACACATCCTCAACAATTTCAAATATAGATTATGGTAAATTGTAAAGTAATTTATATAGAGATTACATTTAGAATGAGATATTTTCACTTTTGACAGATATAACTGTAATTCTTATACTAGTGGATGCAAAAGATGATTTATTTAATATATTAAAGTAAAAATTAGATTCAGTCTCAGTCTCCACTTTCGTAAAGGATCAGTGAATCTGGGCTTGTAGTTTAAAGTGCATACGTTCGTGAAAATACGGAGCATAAAGCTCCGCTAAACAGATTCCTAGCTCAGTTCGTCTTTAATGCCATAACTAATAAGGATAAAAATATGATATTCTAGTAGTGTTCAAACACATGCTTGTACTATAGAATACGTGATTCGTTGTTATTAAAGCTACATGTCATACAACCAAGAAGTCTTCATGAGTAAGATGTCCATATTTTAACTTCATTTGAGAGGAACAAATTATAAGAACATTTTAGTCCTAAGTTTATCATTGAAGTTGAGAAGAGAATCACTAAACAAATCCATTCACATGTATCAATTCTATATTCCAGATTTCATTTTGAACACTGTAAGGTAACATTACTTAGCTCCGTACAGATACAGTTTTGTATATGGGTAACCTCATGAGGGGAAAATGAATACGCTACTTTAAGATCATCTACTTACAGTAAAGTTTTACCCATTCTGAAGCATTTTCAGATATTATTTATACAAACTATCGAGAGTAGACGACATAGGATATCACCATGTATTACACCACTCGTGATTGGAAGTGCATCCGACTAGTTTTTCCAACCCTTGGGTGTCAGTGAATAAAAAACAATAAGCTACTCAAACGGGGACCTCTGATCTTATATAATGTGGATTTGTCCACAAGACGTCAGCTTAAGCGCAAGCTGACAAGAAGTCTACGCATTGATCGTGAACAGTGGTGGGTAGCGAAAGCAAGAGAGACGGAAAAGGCAGCGGTAATAGGTAATAGCAGACAATTGTTCAGACTTGTTAAGGAAACCGGTATTAGGAACCCGACTGTTAGCGAAACAATCTCAGAGAAAGATGGATACATTATACACTCTCAATCCAGGAGATTGGATCTATGGGCAGAACACTTCAGGGATCAGTTCAACTGGCCTTCAGCCGCCACACTTCGGTTTCCCATGATCTCCAGTCAACCTGAGTGGCCAGTTAATGTAGGTCCTCCGTCTCTTTACGAAGTTGAAAAAGTTATCTTTACAACCTTTGAGTAGTAACTATTGCCATTTATATGGCTGCCGACGCTACCACTTATATCTTTGGCATGACCGTATGAACCACATACTCTCCTAAGACTCTCATGACAGTTGAGAAACTGAAGTATGGGCGCGTCGTTATATGTAGGAGAATTATTTATCTAATTGAGGTTCCAGTCCATATGTGCCTGGCTTGGTTATTTCAGTAACATATACGTACGAATTAGTTTTTTGTGTTGTTATTCGTCTTTGGCAATGGCCCCTCCCCACAGTCTTGGCACTGTCACTCTGGCTAGTTATGCTATTGAAGTGTTAAACAACGCAAAATAGTAACTGAATTGGACTACAAAATACAATAATTACTCAACATTATTACGCGTTTCATCTAACGTTGACTAACTGAATAAAATACAGAATAAGCCTTTGAATTATGTCTGGTTGGTTAAGGCTCATCACAGAAGCGCTCCTGTAGTTTGGGAGGAAACTGATTGCTCTGCTTAAAATTTCTGAAACAATAGCACTTGCCGCTAGATTAGATGTATATATTACCGATGAGTGCCAGGAAACATGACACCTAGTTCTGAGGAATCCTGATGATACAATACCAACCTTGACGATTTTTGATTTATCTATTGTAGACTTTTTGTTGACTTATTTTTTCCATTTGTTTACACCTTTACCGGTTAATTTGTATTCCTCTCAAGTCAATTGAAGAACGAGCACGTCGAATTCGTCTTAGAGCCAATAAACGACAGAAGTTTTTCGTTTCACAGAAAACTAATACTGAATTGGATATGAATTTATGCACTGATATTACTCCTCCAAATCAAGATTTCGTCCTTTGTAATTCAGAGGATTCAGTTTCAGCACTTAGAAGATCCACACGTAATAGAACATTTCATACATTTTGGAAACCTAAACCAACTCGTCGAAAGCGTAATTTTGAATCCGTCTGCTGATTAAATATAAACAGGCTCAGTTCTAAAATAAATTTTCAGGTATTAAATTATAAAATATATTCATACTCTTTACCTCTCTGCACAGACAACATTTATTTATTGATTTTGTTAGGATATGGATATTTGGTAATCTAGCGCTTTGTGTACACAATACTTACTCCTTTGAATCTCGTTTGTATAAATTCACCTATTTTAATTGGTTTATTACAGTTTCTCACAGCTTTTATTTAGGAACTATTCAAGAAGCAACGAGTGAACTAAAATCTCCACCTTATTTTTACAAGCCCTTGTATTAACTATTTAGGATTTTTGATAATCGTATATCATCTGGTTGGTAACTAAACCACTCAACTTTCAGTTGACAAGTTCTGTTTTGGAACCTCGACCTACTTATTTTGGTTTGGGTGCTAAACAAGAGGATTAGTTTCCTTACAAGGTATGGCTTAAAGCCATGTAAATAAATTTATTTTTGGTAGATATATAATATTTGATTGTCACTACGGAAAGAGAGAACTGATGAAATTGTCTGGGTATATTGATTTCTGGGGTACATATAAGAAATAGCTAACTATTATTAAAGATTATACCATAAAACTGATTTTGTAAAGAGACAGAGAAGGATGGGTGAGTATAATCAAAAGAAGAGCAGCCATAAACAGAAATTAGTGTATGGGAATGGAATAACAATAATTGGAGGAACTGTTCAGTTAGAGAAAACGCAATCAGAAAGAATTCTTTCAGTTAAAGAAGTTATGTCCATATTTTATGAAGAAATTTAAAGAAAGTTACAGCAAGATCGCTGCTGGCTTCTATTTCGAGCCACGTCTGATAACGCAGATACATAGATACATGAACTCGACTACTTCACTACACGTGAGTCGATCTCGTCGCTCACGCCACTAACAACACTTACGCAGCTACAGAGATACATGAACTTCTCGATTACGTCTATCTGCTCACTACCCAAAGTAAGTGCAGGTTCAGGGTCCTGCCAGTCTTGTAGAAGTACTTTGCAATTCGAAGGTTCAAGGCACATACCGTACCTATGGACCCTGATTACCAACTGATTAAGTGCGGATTGCATGGTTTGAGTATCATCGCACAGTAAGACAATATCATTCGCGTACTCAAGTCAATTTTTAACCAGAAGGTCGTCAACGACTTTAAAAAGGACTGGATGTAAGTTATCTGAGTCTGGTGATTTGTAGCGCTTCAGGAATCGGAGTTCCTTGCGAAATTTTCACCTCGTTAGGTGGATCGGTCGTCACCGGCCATGGAAGGCAGGACAGTCTGATCGATGCCACCGGGTCAGCAGACCAGTTGACCTGCCCCTCGAAAAACTCTGCCCCTCATCCGAGACCTCAGTAGATGATATTGATTGGCATCCCGTAATCTTCACAGATTGTTTCACTCACACCAGATTTCGTGCTGTCAGTGACTTGCATGAATTGAAAGAGCTTCCGGCAGCTATTGGATGCAGCTACTGCTTCCGACTCAGGCTTCTCGGTTCTTACGCAAGCTTTGCTCAATTCCACTACGTAACAGTCTTCGCTCGTGGCACATCGGCAATGAATGTACTGCTAGTTAATGCTAATCAGAAGCATATTGTAGTTTGCGCAAAGTTGTAGTAGATGGTCACCGTTATCTGACCTGCGACCAACAAGTCTCCATCGGTCATCTAAACGACTTTTTCTGTGCCTAGAAGCCCGACATATTGTTTCAAGTTTCCAGCCAGTACTACAATATCCGTCGAAGGTATGTTTTTAGAGGAACATTTAGCCGGTGGTAGTTTAATGCCAGAGGTTAATCTTGGTTTTCCGTTAGGAGTACGCCAAACTGATAAGCGTGAAATAGAACAGTTGGAGTGCGAAGTTGTCCTTTCAAATATACAAAGCTTTCAACAGGCAATGTAGGATAATAGGAAATATAATGCTTATGCAAAACGTGAAAGTAAACAAATACCTCAGCCTTAAAGTCTTGACATTAATAAGATGTTTTCAGCCAATTGTTAACCACCCAACTTAAGTTGTTATATTAGCTTCCTCCCAGAACCGACCTCTGTAAGAATGACTGTTCGATCAACTTATTTGACAAAAGCATGTTAGTTCTTTTCACGAATTACCGTGCCTTTACTATTTTACATTCCTTCTATGTTAGAACCAGAGCTAGTCAGAGAATAGAATTTAAGAAATAGAAACAAGAAAACTTGAGGAAGTGCCACGAGCGGTCTACCCAACACTATGTCAGTGAATTACAATATCTGTTGAACGAACTTTCTGTAGGACAACAGTCAACTGGTAGCAAACCTCATCCTTGATTGCATCCGGGCTGCAATCTGTCAGAGCGTATGTGGATATGACGAAAGGATATCGTTTTTCACACCGATTTCTTTGCACTTCTATGGAGCTTTCTAGTCTAACAACGCAATCGACTAGTTTTGCGTCAGTTCTACTGCTTAGTGTGACACCAACACTAGCAAAACCAAAGGAAGTTTCCACAAGATCCCTGAATAATCGCGTGTGAAACCAGCTTTTCGAAGCGACAGATTGAGCGCAAATTTGTAGTATTTCACTAGAGTATTGGTTGCGATTGACGAATAGATAACTGACATCTATGTCTAGACTTTCTAAAGACATAGCTAACCCTAGCTGTTGTCCGTTCCGCATTGGTGTGCGAACGTCGAAGGAGTCCAGTTTGAATGGTATACGTGGTTTCAGAAAGACGGTTTCAGAATTTGTATTTGGCAATAGCATTCACCATAGGTAGGCTGCTGTATAAGTAGAGAAATGAACGAATGTACTAACTGAGAATAAAAGGGAGTAGATAAGATACATTGAGTAAAAGTAATAAAAACGATTGATATCGAATGATTGTGAATATTATTCGTCTCAATGCGAGTTAAAACAAGAATTATTTTTCCAGTAGTAGTTATACATTGATTTGTGTGTGGTCTGGAATACTGCCTTGGTGCCTAAACTGAATCAGTTTGTTTTCCAAAGAGAGCTACATTCTGAGCTTTTGACCTAAAGGTCTAATCCACAAGTTAGTAGAGCAACGTTAGGAGATGTAGTGACAATACTCCATTTATTACCTCAGGATTCTAAAGTGGACGTACACCATTGATTCGGAGTCAGGGCTTTCCAACTCTACTAGGTGGTACCTCCGTACTCACCGAGCTCCTTAAAGCATTATATACTCACTTTTCGTACTTTCAATTTCATAAACAACACCCCCACAGTGAGAAGGCAGTGAGTAGAATTTCCCTAACAGTGTCTGTATACACGTGGCCATGTAAGAGCATTTTGAGAGGGAGAACGCCCTCTCCTCACCTTTGGCCGTACCCAGGGCATTTGGCTGCGGATTCTGCCACTATTGCATTGTTTTGTTGTTCAGTTACACTCCACAAATAAGGAAGGTTGAATATTCACTATTTAGTGAGTTCACTTCTAATTAACTCTCTAGTTCACGAATCAGTTAAAACAATAAATATATATTTCACCTAATCAAGGAGGTGCATTAAACACGCACTTATACAGCTCAATTTGCATTCTAAGTAAGTAAACGTGATTGTTACTGGTCATTAACCGAAGATTTAACGATTGTGTAACTCTTCGTATCTTAGTATGTTACTGTTAAGCAAATAAGGCAAATCTGATTATGTAAAATAAGATTCCATGTATCCTAAAATAACTTGTGTTTCTTAGAATAATGAGAATGATGTAGTTTCGGATATTCATTTCCAGTCTTCTGGGAAAATTGGAAATGACTTAGGAGGAAATACCATGCAGTGATATTATAATCATAATCACAACATAGGTTATCGATTTTGCTTTTTAGTTAAATGTTCGTTAACATTAAGTGATGTCAGTGAATCCTGTTTACCTGAATCAGTGATGTTTTTTTATGTCCCGATAAACATAATGAATGGTAACTTTGGGATCCTTTTATGGACCAATACTAAACGTACATTTTTATCGTATAATTTTTAAGTGACTAAACTATTCATATTCCTCTTATTATAAACTTTATTTTGACCCATAAACTATTATACGTTTTACCATTCTTGACTTATGCCCTGTCTATTAGTCACTGCCTCCCACATTCACAGCCACATTTGGCTATATTTTGTACAAATGTTATTTTCTATTTTATGCTACGTTGTGGTCTGTTTGATTGGTATATAATCTCAGTATGTTTGAAATATAATGATTCATATCGCAGAGGCTGAGACTTGTGTTCTGGACTTAACTGGCTGGGCTGAGTATTGCGTTCGCTTCCCCTTGCGGTTTGACGATCTTATCATTTTATAATACTAACGTTAATAAGTACATCATGATTTTAATAGATACAGGAAGCAATGACTGAATTTAAGTGCGGAATAAATTTTATGTTGAATCTCGTTCACATTCTTTTTAACTGATAACTCTAATTCTTTAAGGTTTTGTGATAAATTTATGTGTTCCATCTTACATATGAATGTTAAATATATATTTGCGTCCTATTTTCTTTTCTTTTTGATTTATTTACATTTTGCATGCATGTTGTGTGATTCATGTTCTTTGCTTGCTAATTGTGTCTATGATCACTCTTGTTGTGTTAAGCAGACTACGCCAACCAACTAATCCATAAGTAATTTTTGGTGTGTTATTTCCTGCTGAATTTTCGTCACTATGCAAATCAGTAACTTATTCCTGATACTAGTATCATGGAAAGATCCATTGTTTTTTTGGCCTAAATATTGCGAGCCCTCGGACATCTCTCTTTCTGTTCAACTTATGAATTAAACCTTTTTCCTTGATTTCTATCGGTTCCATTTGGTATTTTCATAACTGAAACCCACTTGATCCTATGCCTTTCTAACCAACATTCAATTTTTTGCATACTGGTTTTGACTGACCTCATTTCACAGTAACTCCTTATAAATATTGCTTCAGACATTATAACTTCTTCAATATATTAAACGCTTGCTTATTTTCTTTAATTTACTGTTTACCTTCTGA